GGTCAGGCCGCGGGCATGAGCTCAAGCACAATGATATTAACATACTTCTCACATTAACATACAACATTAATATACAACCACACATTTTGTTTTATGGTTATAATGTTTAAGCAGAGCCAGGGAAAGAATGAAACAACCCAGGCAGGGTCATACATGGTTATCTAGGCCTGGGTGTTCCCTGTCTTCAAAGAAATATTCCAGGGCAAAGTTAACTCTTCATAACCCCTCTGGGATGCTTCTCAAGACACATTCGAGGGTTGTACTAAGACTACTCTAATTTAAGAATGATATACTAAGACACGCCATCCCCTACAATGTTAAGCTTGCTGTTCCTCTCCTGCAGGTGAGAGGAATTGCCCAAGAACAGGACAGTGTTTAGTATCATTAGACACAAGGTTGCCTAGTATAATGTCATTAAGCTTCTCTTAAGGATAATTAACAACTGAGATTTGGAGACCAAAGAATTAGAGAGATAAATGGGCTAAGAGGATAGCCAATATGTTGGCCCCAGCCGTCCAAGGTCAGTGTGAACCCAGGACAGGTGAGAACCTCTGCTGTGGCATCCTATAACTCAGGTGAGTCCCTGATTTTCTGATGAAGGAGAGTATGGGATCACAGAGGAAAGCGATTCAAGTTGTACCATGTGCCTAAGGAGAGTCACCTGGAGAGAAAAAAGCCTCTCAAGATTTTATAGAAAACAACGTGGTTAAGCAATGGCTGTGAGTTATCCAGATGGCTGATGCTGAGATGCTGACAGTGGGTCTAAGAGGTGCTATGCGTGGTTCCAAGGTAATCCTGAGAAGACTTAACTGACCTTGATAGTGAAAAGTGACTAATATGGATCTCGCCTTAACCTGGTCTTAAATATCCAGTAGAAAAGTGTAACCACAAGATGTATAAAAAGCAATGCTGTAGCAAGTTGGTAGCTGTAAAAGGTTCAAATCACCAACTTCAGACAATTGCCAGCTAGACTGATAACTGACCACTGTTTCAGATATTTGCCCTGTATTCTCTGAGCACAGCTTTTCCAGCTTCAACTAAACACCCATCATTTACAAAACAGAGAACAGAGATATGTTGGGAGCAGCTGAAGCTGGAAAGTAAATACAAGTGCAGGATGAAGCCAGCCCCAGAACATGGGAGCTCCTCAAAGCATGCTGTTGTAGCTTAACTGACTGCTGGGTAGAGAGACTGAACCTAGTAACCTCTCTAGGGTATAAATAAACACTCTCCTGTTCTTGGGCAGTTCCTCTCCTCTGCTTAAGAGAGAAAGGAGCTCCATCTGACCCAACTTTTTTGTGTCTTGTCTATCTTTTCCTTATTCTCCCTGCCATTCCTTCCTGGGATACAGCAAGAGCCCAACAGATCCCCAAGTACAGGTATGAAAAATCTTTGGACTGGAAATCTTTAGCCTAAACCAGTAAGTTCATCAAAAATAAAAAAGACTACAGAGTTCTGCAAACATAGCTTCTCCAACTGCAGCTAAACATTTATCATTTACACAACTAAACAGAAAAGGGAGAGATATTGGGAGTGGCTGAAGATGTTGGAAACTGGTTATATGTGTGGAGGCAAGACAAGGCCACAGTGCCTAAAGCAGTCAAGCTACCCCAGTCTTGAGAAAAGCATCCTGCCTGGACAATTTCAGTCATTTGTCACTAGGCAACCTGTGTCCTGTGATACTAACTTTGCAAGAGTATAAATAAATGTCCCCTCTGTTGCTGTTCAGTCCTCTTGCCCATCCAGTAGGAGGCCCCCACCTGACCTCAATCTTGTTTCTTGTCTTTATTTTCTAAATCCCCTCAACCTTTTCTCCCAGGGTCCACCGAGAGACCACCAAGTCCCAACAACTCAGAGTTAGTAAGGGTGCGTATGGACGTCTGTTGAACTCTGTAATGACCCTAGAGTAAATATACAGTGTCTGTAGAGTGAACACACATGTACATATGTGTGTATGTTAGTGCATACATGTGAGTACACACTGCCTTAGAGTTAGTAGCCCTCTGCTTTGCTTCTCTTATATTTTACTGGAGGTGGGGGCAGCCTATCCTGTGTGCATCTGGCTTTCCTCCTGTGTCCTGCCTGTCAGCTCTTTTCCTGGTGTCTTGGTCCAAGTCCCGAGGCCATTTGGTGCCTTTCTTTATCTGGCTTTTCTCTTTTTCTACCCCTATCTTTGATTTGCTTCTCAAGGGAATCTCTCTGGTAAAGTTTGTTTTTAACTCCTAGTCAGGATTAGCTGGAAGACTTTAGAAGGCCCGTATGTTATTTTCTCATCTACAGACCCTGTCCCTACAATTGGATCCAAGTGTGGTAGCACACACCTTTAATCCCAGCACGAGGGAGATTGAGACAGGAGGAGTGCTACAAGTTTGAGGACAGCCCGGGCTACATAGTGAGTTCAAGAACAACCTGAACTACGTAGTGAGATACTTTTTCAAAAAATAAAACAAAAAACACAAACAACTAACAGGTAATTAACAGGATTTGGGAAGCTTTATATTTGTACTTATTTTGATTGAAAAAGTGAATTCTATCCCCATAGAGACCTTTGTGGTTTGGGGTTTATTTTTGGTACTGGGAATCAAACTCAGGACCTTGCACTTGCCAGGCAGGTGCTTGTGCCACTGAGCTATATCCCTGGCCCACCATAGAGACCTTTGAAGCAATATGCTTTTTTCTGGAAATTTAGTGACCACACTTGAGTTGCCCTACAGACATAATTTTATCTTATAGTCTCTATTCCAGAAACTTTATCTTAACCTTGTTAAAATAATACAAAACACTTTTACACTAATTAGAAATGATGTTTTTCTGTGGTTAAGTAGACTGTATATTCCTGGAGGTATCTTTAGCCCTATTTCTACTTTGAGAAAGAGGCATTAGGTACTACTGTGGGAAATAATTCAGGGAAAGAAGGTAGAGAGAGTGTGGTGGATACAAAAACAAAGTCTATTAAAGATGAGTTTTAAAAAATTCAGCTACTCAATCCTTCAGTTCATGAGCATGATGACTGGGTGTTCGTGCCATCTGCAAGAAATGTGCCTCCCTCAAATCTTGTTATGTTGTCGGCACGTTACCCATCTGAAGTGAAAAAAAAAATTCAACTACTCAAAACTTAATATCAAGAGTATTTTCAGACAGTTTCTAGACAGCTTTTTAGTAATGTCTCCAACCCTTCCCTTTCCCTTCTATTCATTAATTTATTTTTGGTTTTTTGCAACACAGTCTCAGTATGTAGCCTAGGCTAGATTTGAACTTACTATGTAGCCCAGGCTGGCCTCAAACTTGAAACCCTCCTGCCTCAGCCTCCCAAGTACTGGGATTTCTCTTCCCATTTAAAAGGTGTATATTTTTAGACCATAGTGACTACATACGGTAATGTCTTCATTTTAAACTTCATATTCTCTTTGTTCTGTAAGTAACTATATAGTTAATGCTCAATATCTGTGATTACATCCATGTCTCCATAGATATTTTCAATTCACAAAGCTCATCCTCTGATAGGCAACTCAGTATTACTGAACAATAACCAAAGAGTTCTTATATAACATTAATAATATGTTTGAGACTTCATATTTGAAAAGCACTTTTGCTTGTTATAAAATTCCTGGATTCCATCTCACACTCTCTAGTATCCATGGTTTTCTGACAAGAGATTTTCTATGGAAGGAGGTGATGATAATGTAATAAGTAATAAGATAATGTAATGAGTTGCTTTCCTTGATCAAGATGTCCAGAGCACTCTGTTCTCCTTTAAAGTTTAATTTTTATCACTTCTCGGCCTTTGGGCTAAGATCAAGTGTAAAGTCTAAATTTTACTAGAACACACCCTAGTGTGGCCCATGCAGGTTGATACTCACAGGTAAATTATGTGGCTCTTCTAGTACACAGTTTAATTTTCAGAAAAAATTTTTTTGTCTTTTTTTGAGACAGGGTCTCACTGTGCAGTTCAGGCTGAACTTGAGCTCACTTTGTAGCCCAAGCTGGCCTCCAACTCACAGTGATCCTCCTGCCTCAGCCTTCTGAGTGCTGGGATTACAGGCATGCACCACAACGCCCGGCTAGAAAATATTTTTTGGATTATAGTTTTTAGTTATTTCTTCCCTTCCTTTGCTTTGGTTGCCTTCCTTAGATATTCCTATCATAATTATGTTGGATCTTCTTTGCTTATCTTCAATATTTGTTATTTTTGTTTTAAAATTTATTTTCCCTTTTTACTAGCAATTTTTAATAAGGTATTATCTACTATGTGTTACATATATTTTAAATTTCCTTTCTAATGAATTTTTTCCTTTTATTGAGTTTGGTCACATTTTTTTTTTTTTTTTTTTTTTTTTTGAGACAGGGTCTCACTATGTAGTTCAGGCTGGCCTTGAGCTCACTTTGTAGCCCAGGCTGGGCTTGAACTCACAACAATCCTCCTGCCTCAGCTCTCTGAACACTGGGATTACAGGCATGTGCCACAGACCAACTATTTATTAAAACAGTTTTTGTTTATCCCGTAAATATTTATTGAAATCTTCTATGTGCAGGCATTGTTATCTAAAGTTGAGCCACACTATCCAATCTCCAGATGCATGAAAGAGAAATAAAAACTTACAGTTTTCTATAACTAAAATTCTGGAGTTATGAAGCAAACAACAGCTAACTAATATACTATATTTAACAATTACTAAATCTTATTTTTACTCTCAACAAAATACTGTTATATTATGAATTCTCCATTCTTTAAATCCTCACTTTGACTTTATCAGTTGGATTGTATTTTTTTAGGAAACTTTTTAAAATGGCATGTTTCAAAGAATTAAAAGTATGGCTGTTTTTTCTTATTTTTCCTTCCATAAATAAATAATGCATTTGTGATCTAGAAAACGATTGAGTTACAGTATTTGTAGATGCTGCACCATTTCTGTCTGAAATTTAGTTTGACAGAAAAAAGTTTTGCCTGATGTTTTTTCTAAACCTTTATATGCCCTACGAATTTCCTAGAAAATACTTACAAGATATGTATTTGATTCTCCAAATCTGAAATCTTCAATATTGAAGGTTGATTCTGCTTTGAATGCAGTGAGTTCTCTCACCTGCAGATTAATGGAAGAAAGTTCGTGAAGATTTTCTATTATATTTTGGGGGTGTACAATTAGTTATACCAATTACTTAAAAGTTGCTTCTCCTTTTTTTATTTTTTTAATTTTAAAAATAAAAGGAGGAAAACATTAACAGACAGACAACCATTTACAAAATAGCAAAAGAACAATACAAACAGTACAGAGTTGCAAACAAAGCAGTAGGAAATTAACAATGCTTGTTGTATTACATATTGATATCTTCAAAGTGGTTTCTCATGAAAACAGATAGAGACATGCAATATTGATCAATCA